TTGGAGAAGCACCAGCCCTGAGTGATCCAGCCTGGCTCCAAAGTCGGTGAGTTAGAGCCCAAGATCAAGCAGAGGGGTTCTAGCTGACACCACCAGTCAGGACACCTAGCCCTGGTCCAAAGCACCTCCAGGGGTTTGTGTGTGGACTGTAGCAACTTAGGGCTCAGCCTATCTATCTATCTATCTATCTATCTATCTATCTATCTATCTATCTATCTATCTATCTATCTTATTTGTCTTCTGATTTAGCAAGGTGCATAATCAGGTGTCTGACTTTAAGCACTTGCATATTCTGATTGGATGCAAAGGGGCTACTCATGGGCTGCAATGTCGGAATGTGCTCAGTGCCTGGCTGAATTGGGGCCTTTCTCCCTTCTCCCCACAAGTCCCCTTTAACTGTAGTTTCACACCCCACAACCCCCACACCCAAACCACCACTCAGAGGGACACTGGGCTGTGTGAGGGGGTCGGGCAGCCCACCTCTCACAATCAGCAAAACACTCAGGAGTCCAGACACCAACAGCAGCTGCTGCAAAAAGCCATTTAGTGCATCACAAGCTGTATCTGTGACCCACAGAGCAGGGAACGTTGCATATTTTCCTCAGTGCTTTAAAGAGACTATCCAGGATACAAGCTGAAAGGAACGTGGTATGTGGTCTCTCTAGGGGGTGGCAGCTCCAGTCCGGCCCCAGGGTGGAGGACTGGCTGGCTCAAAGGGGTGGGGAATGGGACCCGGGCCTTTCCCCATTACAGGGCACCATCTCTGATCTGGCCACAAGGACTATGTTGACCATAAATCAATGAGTAGCTGGGCCCAGACTAACGGGGAAGTCTGATCACATGTTTCCAGGAGCAGGTTGCGTAGCAGAAGGCTGTGGCTGGCCATGGGCTCTGTGTTGCTAGATTCCTCTCATGGTGTCAGTGATCCAGGGCATGAAGTGGGAAATCCGCGTGTACACAGCAGGAGGGGCGGTGCTGTTCTTGATGCCCTTGGAGACGATGCCCTCGGCCACTCCACAGCACACGAGAGGGCCTCCAGAATCGCCCTGCCCCAGAATAAACAAGGAGATGAGTTTTAATGCACTGATCATACCCAGGACTCCAGGGCTGTTTGGGTCATTAAAGCCAGAGCATCCTCAAAAAAGAAATGAATTAACACTGAAAAGCCCAAGATGGGGGATTCATAGAATCTAAGACCAGAAGCACCATTGTGATTATCTAGTCTGACCTCCTGTGTGATGCTGTATAAAAAGAAAGATGATTAGTTGCAATAATTCAGTCGCCATTGTTACAAAATTGCAATCAATCTTGTACAGAGCATGTCGTGTAAGGTATCCTTGTAAAGGTTATAATCTGTTAAGTGGTGATTATCCTGTTTACATTCACATATCATGGTTGTGTCTGAAGTTATGAATACTGACTAGGTGTATCTCAAATACGTTTTGCTCTTGGGTGACACACACCAGGCAGATTTACATCAGGACTAGCCAGCCATGTGTTGATGGCCCATTAAGGATATCAATGGACCCCTTCAGAGGGCTCCCGAAAGGGCATATGGACAATGGAGTCCCAGTGACTCAGTAAGGCATGTAAGGACATAGGATAAAGACTTATGACCTAAGACTCCATCTTTTACCAGTAACTTTCCATGTGCTTGGGCTGAAAGGATAAAAGTGGTGTAGGTGGTGGGGGTTGGTCTGAAACCTGCGAAGTGGCCAGGGCTGAGGATTGGACGCTGGCTGGTGCTCTGAGGTGATCGAGAGGATTCTGCCTTTCAGGAGCTTGCTCACAGGCCAGGGTCTGAGTGATGGACACGTTGTGGGCTGGGAAGGAATCTTCCCCCCAGGTCAGAGTGGTGGGGACCTTGCGGGGGGTCACCTTCCTCTGGGGCATGAGTCACCTGTTGCAACCACCTGGGCACATCTCTCCTAATCCATTTCCTGCCATTGTGGGGTCTCGGGCATTGGTGGCCCCTCAATCCCTCCTGTTCTCTGCCTGTCTCCAGTGAGCAGCGCTTAATTTGTGCCAGGGCCGAGCCCCAGCATCGCTAGACTTGGCGGTTCATTGCCCCGGCACCTCTGGTCTTGCTGCATCAGGTATGAATGTAATAAATTGCTTGAGCCCCGGCAACTAATTGCTGAAGTCCTGACACCTCTTTTATTAAAAGTGAAGCCCTGCCTGTGGGCCGTGATGCCTTGGTCACATTTTGGCTGTTGGTTCTAGTGTGCGGATGCTGGGCAGAGTTGGTGGCCTATGAGCTACAGATTTTCAGACTGGATGATCTGGTCTGTTCTGGCCATGCCATGACTCCTAGGAGGGGCTCGTCTAGGATTTGAAAGATTGAAAGAGCCAGCTTGGGGTTGTCACCAGCTGTAGTGCACAGGAATTGGGTGGTGTCCCTGTCAACAGCGTGGGAGCCCTCCAGTGGGGTTCACAGTGTCCTATGTCCCCTACATTACCAGAACCCGAGCACAGCAGCCGTGGGCTGGGAGCCAGGCCTCATGGGTTGTGCATGATTAATGAATGTCATTATTTGGACCCTGCCACCCTGTGTCATTCTTTCCACACTCCCGCGGCATGTAAATCGGGCAGGGAGCTGCTGCATGATACCCCTAGCCAATGTGTGACAATAAGGAGGTGAAGGTGTCAGTGTACGACCTGGGTGGAAGGCTCTGCAGTAGGCTAGGCATGGTACCATGGTCTAGTCATTTAGGGCTAGATAATCAGCAGGGTTCAGGTCCCACTGCACTTGCCAGGCCCCTGTCAGCCCTGGCTGACCCCACAAAGCGGCTGAGAAAGGACAACCAGCAGCAGGAGCCCAAGCCAATCAGCCACTTACAGAATAAATTGACTTCTGGTCGTCAGGGTCCCCTGCACACAGCATGCTGGAGGGGTAATAGTAACGGTACCGGTTGTAACAGGTCTTATCGCTTATCACTGACAGGTTCACTTCCTGAAGGATGTTGGTTGTATCGGTCAAGCTGGTCTTCCCCCAGCCAGCCACGCTGCACATGGTCCCTGGGCTCACTCTGCGATGAGCAGAAGTCAAATCAATCAATCCCACCTCCTTGGTCAGACGCGCCTTGTGATGCAGCTGTTAGGGCAAAGAGGGGAGGGGAATGACACAGCCCATGAAGTGCAGTCAGAGGGTGTGTGTGTGTGTGTGTGTGTGTGTGTGTGAGTGTGTGTGTGTGTGATGAAAAGAACTTAAAAACTCAAGACTCAAGGGACGGGGTGATGGGATGGGGGTGGTACCTGCAGCAGTGTGAGGTCACTGGGGGCAGGGTGATGGGATGGGGGCAGTACCTGTAGCAGTGTGAGGTCAGTGGGGGTGGAATGATGGGATGGGGGCGGTACCTGCAGCAGTGTGAGGTCACTGGAGGTATGGTGATGGGAGGGGGGCTAGGTTCCCTCTAAATTGCATGCCTGTGCGGCCATGCAGGAGGCCACCAAGGGCCGCACAGGTGTGCACACTGCACTCACGGGCGTGGGGTGAGGTGGAGGTGGTGATGGAGGAGCTTGGGGCCTGCGGGGCTGCAGTGACCCCCCCAGCACCAGGGCTGTGGTGTGTCCGGGAGAGACGCCTCTCCCCTCTGCCCAATCCTGGGGGTGCCACAGGGGGAGAGGACTCCCCCAGCCCTGGAGCTGCTGCAGCTGGGAGAGACACTCTCCCCCAGCCCAGGTGCTTCCTCAGGGAAAGAGGGCTGGGGGGGAGTCCTCTCTCTCCACTGCAGCCCTGGGGCAGCCGGCACCCCAAACCCCTCATCCCTGGCCCCACCTCAGAGCCCCCTCCCCCAGCTGGAGCCCTCACTCCCACGCCTCAACCCTCTGCCCCAGCCCTGAGCCCCCTCCCACGCTCCGAACCCCTCAGCCCCACCCCCGCCACACATCACCTCCATATTGGTGCACATAACAATATTCATTCTGCACATGGATGGTAATAATCAGAGAGAACATTGGGTGGGGCCAGTAACTGCAGCAGTGTGAGGTCACTGGGGGTGGAATGATGGGATGGGGGCAGTACCTGTAGCAGTGTGATGTCACTGGGGGTGGAATGATGGGATGGGGGCAGTACCTGTAGCAGTGTGATGTCACTGGGGGTGGAATGATGGGATGGGGGCGGTACCTGCAGCAGTGTGAGGTCACTGGGGGCAGCGTGATGGGATGGAGGCCGTACCTGCAGCAGCATGATGTCATTGCTAATGCTCTCTCTGTTGTACCGCGGGTGCCAGATCTGCCGCCTCACAGGTATTTTCTGTTGTCTCCGTTCCTGTTCACTAATGCGATGGGCTCCCAGCGTGACAGTGATCTCACTGTAAAACCCAGGAGCAATACATGGGGTGTTAGGGGCAGGAGCGTATGTCAGGTGCAGACGGGCATATGAGGGTCTGACTCATGAACAGTGATACGGAGGGGACAGGGCAGCCTGGAGCTCTCAGGCCGAGATCTCAGACTCAGCTTCTGCCAGCAAAAAAGTCCATACCACTGTACACATTGCCCGCTCCGATCCAGCTCCGTTGCTGGGGATTGGCTGGCTCGGAGGTGGGGGGGGGGGCAGATCTGGGCAATGGGTCAGATCCCAGCTGGTGTCAATGGCCCTATCCCCATTGGTTTACCCAGTGCTGGATCTAGACCATGGTTTGCAGAGGCCCCTAGAGACACGCCGAGGCCCCCTGATAAGATCAGACCCCTGGGCTCTGCTCTCCCAGCCTGTCCTACTAACGGCTCCTTCCCTGCAACCTACAACGGAACCAGAGCTCCCGGCTCCCCCATCACCAGCTAAAGCCCGACCTGCCCCGACATCCCCAGCACAGAGGCGCTTACTCTCCATTGCAGTGAGCAGCCGTCAGCACGAAGTTCTCCGCCACCAGGAACCCTCCGCAGCGAGACCTCTTGTTTCCGCGTTGTATTTTCAGATAGGCCATGTAGGGTCTGGAGTGGGGCTTGGCTTCCTGTCCCCCGATGATCTCCCCTGGGGAGAGACCAGGTTCATATAAAGAGCCCCATCATCTCCCTGGGACGGGCTGGGACCCAGCTCCCCATCCCAAAGAGGAGTCTCCACAACATCATCCCATCCCCTCTGATACTCTCCTTGGAGGATCCCTGTGCCTGGAACTCTGCCCCCCCTCATCTCTCCCCCAGACTGGACACTGCATGGGGCTGGAGGGTAAATCTAAAGCTCTGTCCTCGCTGTGTGGACAATCGGTGCCAAACGCACCAGGAGTGGGTCAGTAACTGCACTGCCTGGAGTTAACAGCTTTGGGGGCTGAAGTCACCCCAGATTAAGCCAGGCAGCACCTGGAAGGGCACAAACAGGTCCCTTGTGGATGCTTTTTCTCCACCATCCCACAGTGACCAGCCAGGGCTGCTCCCAGACTGACCCACCAAACATTTTAGGAACATCATTTTTTTCTCAGAAAGCCTCGTCTCAAAAATGTCTGAATTATTGTGGTGAAACAGATTCTTTCCCCCCAGTGTTGCATAATATTTAGGTGAAAAATTAAAAGTTCCACTTTGGGGTTTTTTTCCCATGGAAAATAAAAAATGTTTTGTGATCACCTCTGAAGAAGTTTCCACTGGGGTGGGTGGGTGTGTTGGAAAATCTCACCGTAAACAAATTGCTGTTATTTGCATGAGGGTGGCAGATAGACCGAGAACCAAGCCCCTATTATGCCAGGGGTTGCGCAGAAACTAACTGAGATCAGGGGCTCCCTTGCTCCAGGCCTTTCACTGACCCAGGCAGCATCCTGACACAAGCTGAATTATTCTTCACATTGTACAGAGAGGGAAACTGAGGCCCAGGGAAATTGTTTGTAAACCTGCCTAAGGGATTACAGTGACCATCCTCAATCCATATAAATCCCTGTCCACAGAGATCCTGGGCAGATCTGAGAATGGTCCCAGATTTGTTGGGTCCCAGCCCAGTGGCCTAGCCCCATGGCCAATCTCCCTGTCTGGGACATGGATTGGCAGTGGGGTCCCAAAGGAGCCTGTGGGGGCTTGGCCACCCGACCCCTAGTGCTGCTGAGAGAGCCCCAGCCACACTCAGGAGAGGATGCAGGGTTCAATACAGGCGCTTGTCCCCAGCAGGAGCAAGGGGGAGACCCTAAACACTGCCCACAGCTCCCCATATGGGAGGGTCACGCTCCCCACGTCACCAGCCTGAGACCCAGAGAGAAGGAGAAAGGCCACGGGAAGCAGGACGAGGATCAAGAGCTGCATTGTCAGAGACATCCAGCGATGGGCTCGGAGCCTCTGCCTGAGCCCCGGGGCTTATATGGATCAGGCGTGGGGAGCGGAGGGGAGGGGAGGGCAGGGCCTGGCAACCACAGGACCTGTACCCTGCTGCCCGGAAACTCCCACCCCGGATGGCCCAGAGGTGGAGACGCCAATTGGAGAAGCCTCCAGCCACAGCTGTGCCCACATCAGGGTGGGGGGTTTCCTCCCTGCTCTGGTGCCCACTCGGTCTGGCTGCAGATGTGGTTAACCCTCCCCCCTCCCTACTACAGTTGTAAGAAACACCCCTGGGCTTCTCTGCACATAGATACTCAGACTCATATATTTCAAGGGCAGGAGGGACCATTGTGACCTTCCAACCTGACCCCCTGTTGGACACCCCAGAGCCAGAACCCACCCATCAACTCCTGTCTCCACCACGGCCCTGGGTCAGTTGTTCCCATGGCTCCATGTTTAATATTTGCATATTAGTCTCAGCCAGACCTTTTCTAACTCCAGCTCCTGGACATTGGGTCTTGTCCTGCCTTGGCCACACAGGCTGAAGAGACCCTGCTGTCAAAACCCCCGCCCCATGGAGTTTCCTACAGAGGGGCCAAGTCCCCTCTTTGCCTCCAAAACCCTCAGGAGATCACTCTCCTTGAAGCGCTCCCCGCCAGCTTGTTGTTGTAGCTCTTTTCAATTTGTCAAAGTCCTGCTAGAGGTGTGGACATTAGAGCTGGACAAAATCTCCAGTCATGGTCCCACAAGGGCGCCTAATCCAGAGGTGACCCCAACTCCTTCCTGCTACTGAATATCCCCTGGTTTATACACCCAAGGATGATATCTGCCTGCTTAGCTCCAGCATTCCACTGAAATCTCCTGTTTAGATGGGTTCCGCCATTGTCATAACTATAAAGGGAAGGGTAACAGCTCTCCTGTGTACAA